GGCCCTCGAGGCCTGGAATTGCCCACCCCTGGTCTAGTACTTTTGTCCATATAATGCAATGCTGGAAACCTTAGTATTCCTTACTGGACAAATTCCACATTTCCACAGGCTTATTATTACAATGCAAATAATATTAAATTAATTAAATAGGAAAAGTGTATTTTTGTTTAAATAAAAATAAGTGTTCTCCACATGGTTTTGGGGCTCTGGAGGTCAGTGACAAATGTTACATTCATGGTGTCAGAGCTTTCGGAGCTTTTTTGCTTGAATGACTCCCAAATAACCAGAGACCAGACCGCCTTTATCAGTCAGTGTGATCGCAACTTATTGCTAATTAATCTAATCTCTGCTTTCACTGTCAGTGTAAAGTCGTTCACCTCTGCTTAAAAAGATTCCTGAGCCTCTGTGTGAGAGTGATGTTTGCCGTTTAGCTCAATCCGGTTATGTTGCTGAGCTGGAAAGGTTCTGTGTCATCCATGGATTCGTGTCACCTTGAAACAATGGTGACTCAAAGGTAGAGGCTTCTTAAATGGTTTGACTTCATCAAATGCACTGACCTAAGGGCAGGTGACAAACTGCCAGTCCTGTATCGTCAGCACCGTTTAGTCACAGTCAGGCTTCTGTGTCCCCTCTTTGTCTCTGCACTCTGTTTGGCCTGGCTCTGACTGGTGTGCCTAAGGACGGCAAGACTAAGAATAGTTTGGCAGTGGCACTCTGGATTAGCACATCTCTCTAGGTCAGAGGTGTATCCATGAGAATATTTGTGCAGATAAATCTAGCTGGAGCAATCATCGCTGCCATTAAAATCGCTAAAATCCCCCTGCTTTTAGAGCACCAAAATTGGGCAAAAAGGCCAGTACGTCCTGGAAGCGACCGCGTGAGGAGGCTCAGAGGTTTAAGATTCTTTAGGCAAGAAATACGATTTTCAGAAGTATTTTATTGATAAAAAGAAATGTAAACATGAGGATCAATATTTTAATGTTAATTTGCTAAAACTGAGAAAATTTCCACTATGATTTTGTAGCATTTTTATATTACAGTGGATTAAATGATTATGTAAGTGAATATCATTGGGAGAGTTGGCAGCTGAAGAGCTAGATATTAGATAATGGAGTTATTTTAAGACAAAAATGCAAACGTGTGCCTCAAAATAAATGTGGTAAAATAAATGTTAATGTTTGTCTGTATAGTCTGGATGTGAAAGAGGAAGAGGAATAAATGATGAATATATATGCTGCCCACAAGTGGCCAACATGGGTTTAGCAGCAATGTACTTTACATATATGATTAATTGCATTTATTTTGTAAATATTCAGTATAATCTGTAATTCTAGGAAATGTATTGCTATTTTAACAAAGTTGAACTGTTTCTATTTATATGCTGAATAAATCATCAAGTTGGCTGCATTTGCATTTTCACAGCTCACATTGTTCTTCACTGTGTCATCGCAGGTGTGAAAACCCACGTGTGTTCAAGCTGGGCCTGATCTCAGGGATCTGGTGGGCGCTGGCTCTGCTTTGCTGGATCAGTGACAGGATATTCTGCGAAGTGTGGTCATCTGTCAACTTTCCCTACCTACACTGTGCTTGGTAAGCTCAAAGTCGACTCAAAGTCAAACTCAGTGCTGTATAAGGTGTTAATGGTATCATTTATTCACAATGTGTATTTTATCCTGTGAGACTAAAAGGCAAAATAAGTGTTACAAGACAGTTACAGTTGCACTGTATACTTTTTTTCTTAAAACAAATGAATAAAAAATGTCAACCAGTTTTCATTTCAGGTGATTTATGTGTTTTATATGAGGAGGAACGGGGAGGGAAACTAGGCAGTAGCTTCAATAGACTGAAGGTAAATCAAACAGAAAAGAGGAATTTGAGAAATTAAGTCACGTGAAATAGAAATTTGTAAAAACCACCTTTCAGCATTAACTTGAATAACTTGTTTTCCGTATGACTTTATCAGCCTCTCACATCATTGTGGGGGAACTTTGGCCTAATGTTCTTTACAGTGTTGCTTTATTTAATTGAGGTTTGTGGGTATTTATGCACAGCTCTCTCACAGCATGCTGTCATGGACTTTTTTGAGATAAGGGACTTTCTGCTTCACAGAGTGAATGGGTTAAATGCAGAGAGGAATTTCCGCACGGGGATCAATAAAGTATACATTATTATTATTATAATTATTATTATAATGTCTTGAACTTTAACATGTGACATGCTAAATGCGGTTCTGAGATGTAGCTGTTGTTATTTTGCAATGGTCTCAGATGAATTGGCTGTCATTGTGAGAACCAATACCTGAATGTTTTAGACCAGCAAACTGTCAAAACTTCTGGTTTTATAGAAGTGTTCACACTTACTGGTAATTAGTTAATCAAGTGCAATTGTTTACCAGAACCTGACTGTTACTTACCCTCTGAATTCCTATGAAAGCCATACAAGTTTGCTTATTTTAATGTTTTATTTTTCAAACTGCATAGAGTCCTGCGAAAACTTTCTTTTTTTCCACATGGCTGCAGAAGTAGTTGGAAAAATCCCAAAAAGTTAATTCTGTTCATCTGGATGTAGCGTTTTCAGTGGGAGAAACCTTTTGTCACTCATTCAAGCGACTTCTTCAGTCTCAGCTGACTGCAGGTTTCTCCAGATTTGTTTTAGGGAAAACAAGACACTGTTAAACTTTTACAGCTGTGCCTGTAAATCATTTCAGAGGTTAGGCTTATTCATGGTCATTTTGCTCTTACAGGCACATCCTCATCTGTCTGGCTTCCTATTTGGGTTGCGTTTGCTTCGCCTACTTTGATGTTGCTACTGAGGCACCGGAGCGAGGTCCCGTCATCATGTTCTGGCCCAGTGAGAAATGGGCCTTCATTGGTGTGCCATATGTCTCCCTACTCTGCGTCCATAAGTCTACTATAAAGGTGACTTAAAGCAACACTGATGCTTCCACACCAAGACACACCATCTGTGACTCATCTTGCATCAACTGGTGCTCTTGTGACTTGAGGATATACGTGATGCACGTCTTGGGCGACCGAAAGGATTTTGCATTTGGCTCATGTTTATGCAACTCGATCAAAGAACAACAGGTTGTTTTACACGATACACAACTACTCTTAAATATCAAAGCCAAGAAACCTTTACAGTGTTACAAACGTATCTCAGGCTTTGCATAAGAGGTATTTAAAATCTCTTAAGAGTTTAAATGTTAGTATTTTACATTTCATACTTCTTTAAAGAGAAGATTTTCTACATTTTCTGGGAACTGAGAAAAACTCACTGTCAAACATAGCACCTCATGAGTGCAGTCATGAAACCATGTTTAGAAACAATAAAGCACTGGATTTATTAACTGTGATTAATGCATCACGCATTAAAGCGTCACGTTGCTAATACACTCAGCAAATCAACAGCAAGCTTTATTGGTTCATAAAATGTTACTAAAGAGTTACACAAAGGTCATTTATGCAAAGCTTTGTGCTGTACACCTGCCCGCCCGTGCTTTCAGGCTTTTTGCTCAAAAACGTCAGAAACACATGGGACATTTCTGCTACAGATCTGTTCAGTTTTACTTTAAGGATGCTACTGTATTTTTTCTTTTTTTTAGAATACTAAATGAGGAAAGTGTTTAATATATACCTGTATATATTTCCTAATTAAATAGGCAATAATACTCTCAAGAAAATAATACCATTCATATATTAGTGAATGACCAGGTACCTTTTTAATATTGGCACCCAATGTAGAAACCCAAAAATCTGAATGTGACGTGAACGTAGCATTTTAAGATATACTATCTACATTTATTTATTCAAACAATTAGCTTGCTTGTGTTTAGCCTCTAATCCCGAATGTTTTTGTTTTCAACCCAGACTTCTCAACTGACCTTCTGGGCTATTATTATTTCAAACTTTGTTTGGTCTTAAACACTAAATAATTGATTCCAAAGAAGAATGAAGGTGATTGTGCTTTGCAATTTTAGAAAATGTTTGGAAAGAAGATGCAAAACCATCCGGTATCTGCTAGCAGTTGTAGTCTTTGGAGGTATGATTTGTTAATTTCTCCGTCCAAAAGCTAAAACTTTAATTTTCTTTTTATTTGGCAAAAAAGGAAAAAAAATGCATACAGGATACAAAAGGGATGTATTTTGAATGCTGCAGACCAAATCCCTGAAACACAAAGCTCTCCAAAGCATTTTTTTTTTCTTTTTTACTTTGTTGGACATGTTCCTGAAATCTGCCTCTAGCCTTTTAACTAATATCATTTTACCCCTGTCCTCCCGCAGAGGACTCTGGGAACTCAAACAACCAAAATAACTTGTGCAATAATGAAAGGTCAAATGAATCATGTTTTACAAAGAAAATGAGTATTTTGGTGATATTCTGAAGCAATAGTTTTGTAACAACATGATGTATTTTCGTATTATAAACCGTTTATATTTTTCTACGTGAAGTGCAGCCAAAGGTGAAGGTGAATAATTTTGATAAAGCATTATTACTAACTTTGTTGATAAACATTTTTAATGTATCTTCATGAGAAGCCTTTTGGGTGAACTGACAATGGAAAATGTGAACAATGCAATGAGTACATAAAACTGCTGCAAATTATACAGGGAAACGATGACAGTGGGTTTGAGTGATGATACTTGGGAAGTAAGTCAGTGAACTAGTATCAGATCAAGGACTCTTTCTGTCTGCATCATGAAGGTTGTCTTGGCTATGACTTAATGTGTTTTTATTAACCTACATGTATATAGATCTCAGCATTTCTCTGCCTGCTTTGACAGTGCAAATAAACTGCACAGAAATATTTATTTTCATTAATGATCCTTTTTTTGTAAATGAATATGTGTAATAGATTAGATAATTAATATATTATTTTATGCAATAAAACTCAATAAATCCCCCAAATGACTGTTTGTGTCTATTCCGTGTTTATCTTGGAATAAATACGTTATCAGAAGTGCTTGTTTCACTGTACACTTTTGCCACTCTTGTAGGTTTTCAGCAGGCTGACTTACAGTGATGCAGAACACAATTTTAGTCACTAGGGGGCGAAATTTTCCCACATCTAATTAAATAAATCTATAGAACTGTCACTTTTCAATGTAAGTGAATAAAATAAATAATAAAAATTGTCATTGAATTAATCAAATATTTATTCAATTTCATACCAAAAGTAGTACATGTGAACAGATGTCACGGGGGTGGGCATGGAAAGGCCATTTTGGGGGTCTAAGGCGCACACAACAGCAATGGTTCGTTCTTGCTGTGTGGTCGGCTGCAATGTTCGATCGCACGATCGGCAAGAGAATGGACCCTGTGCACGAGAAAATGCTAACTTCCTGGTTTGAGACCGGATGTGGGGTTGTACATTTCCGGTAGCTTTACTTTGCGGTCAATCGCTACTGCGAAGATATACTCCAAAATTGATGTCCAAAACTCGAAAACGGAACGATCGCGTTAAGTTACAAGGAGCAGAAGGTGGGAACACTCACCACTGTTGTGTCATAAAAATCTAATGATCAATTTTGACGTTTAAAGAGTTTAGATCGATCGGTTGTTTACATCACT